TAAACCCAACATCTGTTATTAATAACATGATAGAGACATTCTTTTTACAGATTAAAAATTTGCCACCTTTGGGACCAAAGAAGTCCAAGGGAAAAAAAGTTGAGGAACTTCTCGCCCAAATAAAGGAGGCAAAAACAATAATCAAAGTTCCCTTAGGTAATAGATACTTTGTCATTTTATAGCAGGGTTTGAAATATTCTTAGTCACTTATTTTTTAAAATGACAAAACCAAGATGGAATCCAGTGTAATTAAACAAGTCAAGCCTAGTGATGCAGCAGGAAATATTTTCCAATTGCGCAGCAAATAAATTTCATCATCAACTAGCACAAACTAGCATGTTTTACAGGTCATCTAACAAGCACACTGCAGAGATGTCATAGCGATTGTTCAGCACAGTTTACTTTGAAATGCTCTATTTGGCTCTGCAGCTGTTTCTCTCTGTCCCTCTTCAATGGACTGATTGTAGATATGCCATCTAGGGAAACCTCCAAACTACTATTCAAACTAATATGAATAGATATTTCTGATATTAATCACATCATTGCTCATAGAATGGTATTAAATGCAACTTTATATATTCTCTATCCAGATAGTTTACTCGAAGGAGGGAATGGCATTTGTAAGAGAGAATACAAGGAAGCACTGACTCTACTGAAGGACATGAAAAGGAAGTACAGGACAGCCCATCTGAAAAGAGTGGAACAAGCAGCACAGATTGAGGATGAGATGATGTGTAATCTAAACTAACAGGTGCTTTACTCTCTGCTTATTCATTAATGAGTTGGTTTTAGTTTGCAATAAAACACTATTAAGATATTGGAGAGATGGTGACAATTTGTTTGATGTTTGTGTTGATTACAAATAAACTGTATATGTCATTGCTGTCAGATATATTGAGTTTGCAATAAATTTATTCTCATCATGTGCTGTGAACTATTTTTAAAATCATCTTTATCTCGTATATGACAACAGTTAGGCTGTTAGGTCAACTTTTGAGTGTTTTGACAATTAAATATATGATGTTTTTTTGGTCAGCTTGGGAAAAAATGTGACAAAAGTAAAGTATACTTAATAAAAAAACACAATTTTTACCTGAAATATTTTAGCTGATGGAAAGTTTTTTTTTTTTTCGGGGTCTTATTTATTTTTGAAATTGTTAAATGAAAACAAAAAAAAAATTGATTTGAACGCCAACATAAATGGACATGTTAATATTTACAACAGGACTTACTATAACAATGTGTAAGCTGCTTCAAAAAATAATTACATAATTTTTACATCAATTGTATTACATAAATGCTTTTATTATTTATTACATAAAATAGCTCTTATTAAATAAACATCAGCATAATATCACATTTCATTTGCTTAAATCCATATACTGATACTGTGCAGCAGTTCACATTTTATTAAAAACTGAGCAGGAATATTTAGCAGATATAACTGAGCAGATATTTACTACTGTCAATATTACGAATATTTTATTTATTATATAAAATATTTTAATAAAAAATTCTGAATAATATCGGATTTGACGCGCTTGAATCAGTTCGTATTTGTCATGACTGATTATTTATTTAAATACATTTTCTAAAAAATTATTTTTGTACAACACAAGGAGCAAGTGGATTTTCCTGTAGGAGGCGCGTTAGATTAAAACCTAGAAGCGCTACAGAAACTCCCACAGACCGTCGTAGTTCTAAAGTGCGGAGAAGCTCGAGAAGACAAATCCTGCATGACCACAGTTTCCTGGAACATGAAGAAAAGAATGACCTACTTGAAACATTTTTTCATTTTGGTCACAATGCGATGCTTCGTTCAGTGTGAAACAGAGGCAATACGACCAGGAAAAAGTAAGTGACTGTATTGAAATTGCTGTGTGATGAGGCTATATAATACAAGTTCATTTATAACGGCGCTGTAAGTGTTTTAATTAAAGTCATTAAAACGGATGACATTTCGTGAAAAGGTGCCTTTTGTGTCCTTCATTAATATGTGCAAACAACGATATTATTTCATTAAGACAACAAAAAAATCCAGTAACAGCATTTTATTGATTTATTTCGTCCCTTTTCTCAATAAGAATGCCTTTTTTTGGTCTCCCCAGCCATATTTGCTTATAATGTTGTAATTAGTGTCCCTTACTATATTTGTAGGTTTTAGTGAACATAACATTTTATTAAAAAGTCTTAAAAATGTCTCCAGGTAATTCGTCAAATATGTTACAACTCTCCCTGTACAATTCAATATATAAAAACTGAAAAGGACATCATCATCCTATGAGGATTTTTTATCACTTTATCACTTATGTTATATTTGGTCTGGTTTGTTAATAAGAGACCCTGTTTTTTTGTAGTAAACAAAAGTGTCATCTTTTAGTGGAATGACCTTGGGAAATGGCTAAATAAACTAAAACTGTTAACCCTGTTTTATATTTAGAATGTTATGCTATTCTTGAAAATTAGATGATTGTATGTTTGTGTTGTATGCAGTGTCAGGTGTTTTCTGCATTTTTAAAGAGAAGGCGTACAGTCCAGGAGAGAGCTGGCATCCCTATCTGGAGCCCTTTGGATTCATGTTCTGCATGCGCTGTACTTGCACAGAAGTACGTATCCAACTTCCAAGTCTAAATAATGACTTGGAAAAAGTTTTCATATGCATTGTTTTTTTACCTAAAGGATACAGGTGATCATTCATGAATGATTTCCTATACAGTTTGTACACATGTATGCACATGTCAGATCCACATGCTATGTATATTATGTCAATGTTTCTGTCTACTTTCATGTGGGTGTATGTATAGTTTGGTCATGTGAAATGCAACAGCATCAAATGCCCTGTTCTGCAATGTGAAAATCCAGTGACTAACTCACAGCAGTGTTGCCCTCGTTGTGCAGGTAAAACATCACACTTTTCCAGGTTCCAGTGTTTATGTGAATTGATATTAATGATTCTAATACATTCTTATTTGAACCGTCTGATGGCTATTCTCATAATCACAGATGAGCACAGAACTCCTGCTGGTCTGCGGGCACCCATTGAAACCTGTAGGTATAATGGAAGCACTTACCAAACAGGGGAAACATTTGCCAACCATGAGCTCTTCCCATCCCGTCAGCCGAACCAGTGCGTCATGTGTACTTGCTCTGTAAGTATTTATTTTATTTTTTTGGTAATCTTTGTTGTTGCTTTCACCATAGTGCATCATTGAACATTGGGCTCTAACCTCAAACAGTTTAAAAATCCTTTATAGTATAGTGTTTTGAAAGATGGTGTCGGAGAGCAGGCGTAAATACAGTAGAAGGGAGTGCTAGCAATGCCAGACTTATGGGTTCCATGTATACCTCAAATGCAATGTAAGTTGTTTTGGATAAAAACCTTTGAAGATTAAGCAATTCAAGTAATAATGTCTTCTTAAAGAAATGTTTGGTTTTAGGATCATAATTTTATTTACAATAAATTATTTACTATGCAGAATTTAAAAAAGCTAAGGCTCCTTCACTCTCACTGGGGCGGTACCTTTTCAAAAGGTACATATTTGTACCTAAAGGGTCCATTTTGGTACCTTAAAGGTACATATTAGTACTTAAAGTGTGCATATTAGAACCTAACAGGTACAAAAGTGTACCTTTTTAAAAAAGGTACCACCCCAGTAACAGCTGTTGTACCTTTATTTCTGAGAGTGTTCCACAGTAACATACTGTATGTTATTGAGACATTTTCTGGCCTGATTTAATATCGATATAAAAAAGTCAGTTATCCTTGCTTTGCCCCATGTTGTCAGGCACTGATGTTGAGGTGCTGATTT